GAGGGGCTGGGCTGAGGGTTTCGGCCGAAGACGTCTGCAAGGTTGATGGCACCGATTGCCTTGGGAGCGAAGGCGGTGTGCCAGTCTCCAAAGCTCATCTTCTCGAATAGAGCATCCTGCTGTCTGTGTCATCAACGTCAGCCTCAGCCTCCGGCTGCGAAATCTCAGGCTGAGCGGTCTCTGCGCCGCCGTCCTCTTTGTCGTCCTTCTCTTCCTCATTTTCATCCTCCTCTGAGCTCTCCTCCTTGGCGGATGCGGCATCCTTCGTGGCAGCGTTGGAGCTACTGCCAGCCTCAGGTTCTTCATCCTCTGACTCGTCGTCGCTCTCCATGGCCTCAAGCAGTTCTTTCGCAAGATGCGCAGAGAAGAATCTGTACGCAATGCCGTTCTCCTTCAGGTACTTTGCCCACATCTTGCGCTGCTTCAGTGTGAGCATGTCGGCCTTGTTGATCAGCAGCAGGTTCTCCTTCTTCGAGTCGATGTCTTTGACGTAGTGCTCCAAATCCTCGGATCTGAAAAGCAAGGGGTTCCTAGCATCGACGATCTGAACAATCAAGTCTGATCGTTCAATGACACGCCAAAGCTGCCTCCACACCTCAAGGTTACGCTCGAACGGCGTCATGAGTAGATCGTTGTTCTCCTGAAGTTCGGCGAGGCCTCGTCTCCAGTCAAGGAAACTTTCCCTCTCCCGTCTGTCCAGCTCCTCCGGTGTGGTGGACGCATCCCACTTTGGTCTTCTTGGCACTGTCAAGCGTCCTCTGTGGGCCTTCTGCTTGCCAATGATGGCCCTTTCCTCTGCTCCAGAAAGAAGATACGGGTTCTTCTGATCGGTGTGGATGATCTTGACGTTATTCATTTTCTCCGCCGTAAAGTCCGTGCCCGCCAGCTCTGCGGTCGCGAGGAACTCGTCAAGAGCGCCTTGCTCGGTAACTGATCGCATTTTGACCCATGATGCTTCTTGTCGCTCGTTCGTGAGGTACTAGCAAGGTGTGAGTGCTTTTTCTGGAGATATCGGGACAGAGAATTCCGGCGTTGCCTCATTACCTCTTCTCCTGTAGCGTGGTTCACTCTGGTGATGGTACTCTTCTTCCTGTCTGCGCCACGACCCTTGCCAAAGCGATCGTTCATCAGGGCGTTGCCCAACCCTGCGGTCTTCTTGGATTTGGCGTGCACCATTTTCGCGGTGATCTATCGTCTCTCGCTACCTTGGAAAATAGGGTGAAAAATGCGCAGTGGAAAGAAACGACTCCCAAGACTGCGTTGTGAATCGGAATGAGTAATAGTGGGAGCCGTCGCAAGTGCCCGCCTTGAAGAGAATAGCAGTGCCCCGCGACGATTAATCAGCGGGGCAAAAAAGTGATTTTGGGCGTTTATCGATAAGAGATTTTTTTTTTGCGACCGCGGGGCTCCCATCTGTGCGTCCCACTGAATCTCTCCCTCTTGCGCACCCCAACGAACGGTCAATTCGACAAGCCCGGTATACTGTTGCGCAAAACACCCCAAATTAGACAAAATGGCGAAGGGCAAGAAATTGTAAGTTTATGTGTACTTTTATGGTGTGAAAGCTGACATTTCTTTCCAGCGACAAGAAGAGTGCGCAGCACTTCACCCTCGTCCACCGACCGCAAAATGACCCCCTCATCCACGACGAAAATGCGCCCTCGATGGTGCTCAACCCTGTGCCTCAAAAGGGTGGACCGTCGAAGAGCAAGCATCTGAGCGACCTTGCGTCTGAGTTCGGATCAGAAGCTGGAAGCATACGCGCAAACGAAGGAGAGGCGGCAGAATACGGCGTTTACTTTGATGACACTGAGTACGACTACATGCAGCATCTGCGCGGCTTGAACTCGGGGGGTGGTGAGGCTGTCTGGGTCGAGGCCTCTGGTGCGGCAAACAACGACAGGAAGGGAAAGCAGGCGCAATCACTTGAAGATGCACTGCGCCAGATGGATCTGGAGCACAAGAGCGAAGATCTGCTGGATCCCTCAGTCCTCCCCAACAGAAACCTGCCACGAACCAACTATGAGACACAGGTGGATATCCCCGATGCCATCGCTGGTTTTCAGCCCGATATGGACCCCCGCTTGAGGGAAGTGTTGGAGGCATTGGAGGACGACGCATATGTGGATGACGACGACGATATTTTCAAAGAGCTCTCCAAGGACTCACGTGAAGTCGATCAGTACGAATTCGAGGATCAATACGGCTACGACGACGAAGATGAGGGCTGGGAATCAGACGACACCGCAAAGCCGAACAAGGAGTACAAGGACGGAGCAGTGCCGCAGCTGGTCCCTGTTGAGGGGGAGGCATTACCAGAACACCAGAACGAAGACTGGATGGAGGACTTTAAGCAGTTCAAGAAAGACCAAAAGGGCGGCAAGGTCCAGCCGGCCAAAGACACGCCGTCCGAGTTGCAGTCCTCCATTTGGACCACGACAACGATGGGTGGCCGGAAGAAGAAGAGAAAGGGTGCATTGACCAACCCCTCTGCCTTCTCCATGACCTCGTCAGCCATGGTCAGGACGGAGCAACTCACCCTTCTGGATGCCAGATTCGACAAGATTGAGGAGGAGTACACAAATGAGATGGGCGACGATATGGCATCTGTCTCAGAAGTATCAACGGCAACCAGTGTGACCGGACCCACCAGAGGCGACTTTGACAGTATCATGGATGATTTCCTGGGCAGCTACACCAAGCCTGGAAAACGCACAAACAAGAAGAACCGGCCGCAGACTGGTCTTGAGCAACTGGACGAGATCAGGCAGGGTCTTGGCCCAGCTCGGTTCCGTTCACTAAACACCAAGAGGGTTTAGGTCTGTTTGCGCCTAGATATAGAAGCATTCGGCGCAGCCTAGATTCCGGTCATCGAGATACCCTCACTGAGCGCCAGGTTGCATGAGATCTGCGCCCCATAGTGTTATGATAAACAAGTTGATGTTATATGAACCACCGTTTCCTTCAACATGATTTGGGATTTACCACATGCTGAATTCCTGGAGTCTCTAGACTAATGATGTTGTGTTCAGTGATTCACATTTGTTGCTTCCATCAACGGAATAATTCTTTGTCGCTAGAGAGATTTGTCGATACTTCCCTTGTGGAAGGAACACCCGAAAGTGTCTGTGAAGAATGTTCCTGCCGTCAGAGAACCCTGAGAGGTTCAACGCAAACAAAGAGGGCGTGCCTTTATCTCCCACACACCCCTCACTCAGTGGAATGCAGCTGTGGGCCATAGCTTTGCTGGCTTTAAACGCCGCTAAACGCGATACGCGCCGAAAAAAACGCGGCAAACGCAGACCAGCTCCATCCTAGTTCTCCACTTGGTTCTTGTCTGCCTCGTAGTTTCCTTCTTGGAGTTTCCTTTCGCGAACCCGACATGACGTCGGTTTCTTTCCCTCCCAGCAGACCCGACAGGAAGCTATCGCCATTCGGAGGCACATTGACCGGTGGCTTTGGAAGTCAGCCTGACGCGAGCAAAAACGTTTTCGGCCTCAATGGGGCGGGTGCCGGCGGTGGGCAGCGGTCGACACGCAACTTGAATAACCAGCCTCCCGATATGACGACTCCTGCGACAAAGCGGAAGGGCGTCAACCCGTTCGATGGCGCCAGCTCAGACGATAATCGACGACGAAAAAACACGAAGGGAGATTCACAAGGCGACTGGAAGAAGAAGGGTCCCAAGTCGCAAGGCGCGAAGCCAAATGGCGCGAAGGCGCCGAAAGGGTTTGGAACCGCCCAGTCGCGCAGTGGTTTCGGCACCCAAAACAACAACAATCACAGCTCGGGATCTACCGACTACGAAACGGACGACGCGAACGGCGAATTGAATGGTGACGGCACTGCGTACTCCGACAAAATCTTCTCGCAACTACGACAGGATGGAATCGCACCACCAAAATGGCCGTCCGATCCAGGAAATACGTCGTCCAAGGCCGCGATGGCCAAGTTCAGGGAAGAATACAAGACATATCGCGATCGGGCTAGGACGTCACTGATGCGCGCCGGCTTGATTGACGACCCCGATAAGCCGAAGCGGTTAGAAGACGCGATTGACTTCAAAGGCATCTGCGACGCGATGTGCCCCGACTTCGAGAAGATTACTCGCATCACCGAATTCGACGTTCAGTCCGCCGAAAAGGACCCCCGAACGACTTTTGCCAATACATCAAAGATGGTTAAGAAGCTGGCGCGTTCCGCAGCTGGCCAGGAGGCTCCGCTACCAATGGATGTCAGATCCACAGCCGCCCTCAGAAGGACGCTCGACTACCTCATCGACGACCTCTTACCGATCGACGACAAGCTACCCTCTTCGCATGGTTTTTTGTGGGATAGAACACGTGCGATTCGCAGGGACTTCATCTTTCATTCGACAATGTCTCCCGAGGAGATGAAGGACCAGGTTTACTGTCTCGAGACAATTGCCAGGTTTCACGTTACAGCTTTACATTTGCTTTCTCAGGAAGGATTTGCGCCAGAAGACTTCTCTGAACAACAAGAAATTGAGCAACTGGGGAAGGCATTGCTTTCGCTTATGTTTGCTTACGACGATTGCAAGCCGCAAGGCGTTGTTTGCGAAAACGAGGCCGAGTTCAGGGCGTATCATTTGCTTTTCAGCGCAAATACTCCCAATATCCTCGATAATGTGCAAAAGGAATGGGGAGACTCTCGCTTCTGGACCGAATCCGATACCATCAGAACAGCTGTCTCACTTGTCGAGAGTCTGCAGAGCGCAGAGGACTTCCACGGCCCCTTGGGCTCGGGCCCGTCCATGGCAACATCGGGTGCACACCTCACTTACTTTAGAATCCTCCAAAGCCGAGAAGTGTCTTATACAATGGCATGTTTTGCGGAGATTCACTTAGGTCAGCTGCGCCGCTCAGTTCTTCGCTCTTTGAAGAAGGCGTACACCAGACCGCGACACGGGGCGAAAGATATTACGCCCTCTTCGCTAAACCGATTTCTTCACTTCGACACAGAAAACCAGGCGATTGAGTTTGTCGAGCAGCATGGTCTCAGCTTCTCAAATGGACAAGGACCAGCGGGCGAACCCATACGATATCTGGATACCTCACAACGCATGACATGGCCGAGAATCCATCACAGTTTCTCTCAGAGATTGGTTGAGAGAAAACGAGGCTCCCGTAGTCTTCCTGAGATCATCCACCGCACAATTGCCGACGAATCCACGGGCGCTGGCCAACAGGCTCCTACAGGATTTTCGACGGGGCCAGCTTCATTCAAGCCGCCTCCACAGCAGGCTCCTTTTGGAAGCCACTCAACAACGAACGCAGACTCTCCTTTTTTCAAGTTGCCTTCTTTGGCATCCCAAGGAGGCACCTCGACGGGACTCACGGGTACGCCGTCTTTCGACAAAGGTAAAGAATCTTCCATACACTACCCATGTCGTTGTAGCCTCTTGCCTACCAGCACCGTTGTCAACGTCAAATTCATTGCGACTCTCCTCCGCCGGACCATTTCTCTTCAGTCAAGATCGAACGCCACAGTGCTAGATTTCAGACGTGGCAATACTTGGTGCGGCTGATCAACTGGCAGCCGTTTCAGAGGTTGAGAAGCGCTCAAACAGTCATCGCAATCAGGACGAGATGACTAGCAATGAATTGTCAATGGCACCAAAAGAAGAGGGTAGGCATAGCCAAGCCGGATATCTGCTAACATTGTGTCCCACAGCAACTGAAGGCCACAAGCCTACCTCGACGAATTCCAGCCCATTTGGAAACCCTTTCTCAACAGCTCCATCACCATTCACTGGTGCATCCTCTGTTCAACAAGGCGGCTCGGCCTCGTCATCGTCATCAACAGCAACGCCGGCTCTGAATCCATTTGCCGCGAAGACAAGCCCTTTTAGCAAGCCAAACGCGGCAGCCGAGAGCGCGACGCCTAGTAGCAACCCTTTCGGGTTGTTAAATCAACCAAATGGCACTTCCCAGCCCAAAGCTCCGAGTATCCCGGCATTCTCTTCTCCGGCCTTCGGCAGCGGCGCACAACCCAAAGCACAGGAGCAAGCGCAGCCAGCTACCTCGACAGATGGCTCTCCAGCCATCACCGTCACTCCGCCCACACCAAAGTTCCCATTGCCAACGTCAGCGACAGCCGCAGAGTCGTCAACGCCTTTCAAATTCTCATCAAATACTGGCGTGCAGTCCGCGACT